GACTATGTAGTTTCAACTTTTCTATGTATTTAAAATCTTTTTTTGTAGATATTTTGCATCTTGAATTCATCCTGACAAGTCTCTGCCTGTTACTGAAATATGTAGTTTATGTATGATGTTATAATTGATACTGTTGGATTTACTGTTTACACTTTATTTTCTATTGTCATCTGTTTTTTTTGCTCTTTTCTCCTTTCCTTCCTTTGGGGTCACTTATTTTTTAGTGTTTCATTTTAATTTTCCAAATGCATTTTAGTTATATCCTTTGCCTTTTTTAGGGGGTGGGGAGGCTGTTGCCCCAATGACAATATGCATCTTTAGCTTTGCAACAGTATCGTTGTTTTTAATATTTCCTGTTGTTTCTGCTGATAATGTCATATAAATTACATCCATATACTTTTAGAGTCATAATTTTTGCTGTAATTGGTCATCTCCCTTTTGTAGAAATTAAGAAGAGAACAAAAGAATATCGTCTATTACATTTACCTACATGCTACCTCTTTCTAGTTCTCTTAATTTTTCACTGTGATTTTATTCCCATCTGTTATTTGCCTTTATTGTGAAGAAATTTCCATTAGCATTTCTCTGTGCAAAATGTGCTAGAAATGAATTCTCTGTTTTTGCTTATCTGAACATGTTTTTGTTTTGACTTCTTTTATGAAGGACATTTTTGTTGGTTGTGGATTTTAGGTTGAGTTTTTCCCCCTCTCAGCTCTTTAAAGATGTTGTTTCATTGCATTCTGACTTCCATTGTTTCTGATGAGAAATTGTTATTCATGTGTTTATGTCTCTACATGTATACGGATGGTTATGCTCTCTGGCTGCTGTCAAAGTAAAACAAAGCTAAGCCATTGGTTAAAGGCAATAAAAACAGTTTTTATTTGGTAACCAATACAATAGGGGAAAGAACTGAGCTCACTTCCGACTGGCACAGAGGTGACTGGGAGGATGAGGGAGTAGGTGGTCAGGATGAGTGGGGGCTTGAGCAGAGTCAGGGAAGTGAAAAATTACCCCCAAAATGGAGGAGAGGGTTGGTCAATGTCAATGCTTTTAGGACATACATCTGTGTCTGCTGTATGACATTTATTGAAGTTAGGCTTCTACCCTCCCTCAGAGGGTAGAGTGTGAGACAGAGGCTGTATCCTTCCTGATTGATTACATTTCAAAGGAATGGTTTTTAGGTCCTTGAAAAAGACACTCCTGAGTTGTAGGAGACACATATACATTTCGAAGAGACAGAGGAAGGATTTACAATAAAGCTTTTTAAATAAATGCTCTAAAAAAGGAGGTCAGGGGTTTATGGACAGGTGTTAGCTGGAGCAAATGGTAAATTCTTTTGGCAGCCTTGAGTTTTTTCAGACTGGAACTCAGAAGGTTCTCGTTCATACCAGGGACACTGCCTTAGGCTGCTAGAAGCTATGCTAGAGCTTGGTCAAGTCTCTCAATGCAGGGGTTTGATCAGAGTCCTTTGTCCCAAGAGTTTTTATAGTTTTCACCCCTTTAAAGATTTTCTTTAAATCTTTTGTTTTTAGCAGTTTGATAATGATGTGCCCAAATGTGGTTTTCTTTGTATTTTAACTGTTTGGTATTTATTGAGTTGCGAGGAAGTATGAGTTTAGTTTTTCACTAAAGTTGAACATATTTTAGCCATTATTATTTCAGATTTTTTTTATGGTCTGTTCTTGCTTTCCCTGTTTCTGGGACTGCACATGTTACTGAGATGGTTCATTTTGTTATGCAGTCTTTTATTTCTATTCTTCTGATTAGATGATTTCTATAGATCCATCTTCAAATTCACTGACTCTTTTGTCTTCTCCAACCATCAGGTTAATTCTTTATTTCTGATTTTTAAATAATTTTCAGTTCTGGAATTTCCATTTGATTCATTTTTATAGTTCCTGTTACTCAGCTGAGATTTCCATCTGTTCATTAAGTCCATGAACACACTCATAATAGTCACTTTAAAATCCTTGTCTATTAGTTCATCTTGGGGGTCTCTTTCTACTGGCTGTTTCCTCTTTTGACTAAGGGGTAACATTTTCCTATTTCTTCACCTGGTTAGTAATTTGTGGTTTTATATTGGATATTTGAGACAAAACATTGTAGAGATTGAATTCTGTTATCTTCCTCTGAAGAATATTGATTTTTGTACTAGCATATTGTTTTGAGTTGCCTCAAAGTCCAAACTGTTTGCCTCGAATGTAAGCAACACCTGAAATTTCAGCTTTGTTCCAAGCAGGCCTCCACAGTCTCTCCCACATGTGTAGTTTAAGGGTCAGTCCAGGATTTGGGCAGTGTTCAGTCTTATATTTTGATGTTTTTCCCCTGTCACTCCCGTTTTTACAGGATTTCCCCTTGCAAAAAAGGGGGAAATTTTTTACAATATTTTAATCATTACTAGCCCCTCTGGCAGCCCAAGTCCATCCTCTGATTCTGCAGCTCAGGAAAACTGCAGTTTTCTGCTTAACGCCTAGATACCCTGCCTGGCTTAGACTGGGGGGTGCTCCTGGGTACAAAGCCACATCAACACAGCTCTCATCCAAGGCAGTTTCCCGCTTACAAAGGTTGACTTTAATTTTTGTGTTTTGGGTTTCCCTCCACTGTTTTCAAGTAGTTGATTTTATTATATTTTCAAATATTCTGTTTGTTTGTGTATTCTTTTGCTAATTGCATGTTTCCATTATTGAGGATTTATAATGTGCTTCAGAATTTGGTAGGACCAGTCCCTACTCTTCTTTGTCAGAGCTTTCCCAGTTATTTTTGTATGGAATAATTTCATCTGGGTCTTAAAATTTTTTTAAAGTTTTTATTGAGATGCATCAAAAATATAAATTTGGCAGTACTGATATTACTATGTTGTCTTTCTTCTGTCTAGGAAAATGTATGTATTTCTCATTGCTCAGTTTACTTTTGCATTCTTTAGTAATGATTAAAATATTCCTTTGAGTAGTTTTGATACATTTATAGTTAGATTTATTTTAGGTGCTTTGTATATTTTGTTATAAATTTATTCTTTTTAAAAATATTTTTCCTATATAAACAAGCAAAAATTTTGCTAGCTAGAAGAAAATTTATTATTTTTAAATCTTCCAATTTGTGTGAAATTATAATAATTAATAGAACTGAGGCTTAAATATACCCTGTGATGGCAATTGGAAAGTGACTTGAGTTACGGTTGGGATCTAGGTCTGTCTGCCTCTAGATTGAACACATGTTTTTAACAACTACTGCATAGTATTCTCTGATTTATTTTAAGGCTTGAATAAAGCACAACTTAAGCTCTCATGCTCTCTTCTTAGATTTTGGTTCTTGTATCAGTCTTAGAGTTACTGAAGTGAAATGTTCGTTCTAGTCTCATTAGAGCAGAATAGCTTCTTGATCTACTCTTGTTAAGCATTTTCCATGAATTATTTTCAAAGAAAAGTTAGTTATATACTATTCCTTCTGAGGTTTAAGTGCAGATTCATAAGACTCTAGAATTTAGTTGGTTTTATTGTGATGTAAACTTTGTGGCGCTATATGTTTCCAGTAGCTATTTGGTAAATATCTTAAGTAAAAGAACCATTCATGTCATGGTGTTTTAGTTAGTCCACCTTTGGGGGGAAAAAAGGTCAGAATTACCCTCCAGTGTCTTGGCCTTTTCTGACTTACAGTTTGGGAAATGAAAGAGACATGTGTAGCTTAAAAAGCAAGACAATCTCTGATATATCTGAAGGTGCTGGAAAGTATATGAAAATGCATTTTTTAAACTGTCCAGTATTACAGTTACTGTAAGCCCCAATGCATGGTATGAGATGTTTCTGCTGCCCAGTGGCTATGTAAGAAGCCCCTTACCTTAGCAGTGAAGCCCAGGATGTGTGCTACCCAGCCACAGGAAGATACCACTTTTTACCATTGCCCTTTGAAATGGTGATTGAGTTCGCATATTCATTAGCAATATGTACATCTGGAACTTAAATCAGTTTGATTTTATTTTCACAAGTTGTTTGGAAATATTTCTTCCTCCTTGAAGTTTTGATGATTTGGTAATATGTAGGAAATGGTATTGTTTCAGTAATTACCTTTTTTTACTCTAATTTTAAAAGTACAAGCTTTCTGACCAAAGACACCTTGGCAGTCCAACTTACATTCCAGACTGCCTTTTAAGCATTAAGCGTCTCTTCTTCCTTCTCCCACAGATGAGAAGTTACTGTGAAATGAAGTAGTGGCAGGGGAAACAGGGAGAATTATCTCTGGACTGCCCATGTTCTGGAAAGAAATGTGGGAGAAAAATTTTGAGGTCTTTCTGGTCTGTGTCTTTCAGGTATACTGATTAAAAAAACCCCAAAAAACTAGATATAGCTAATTTTTCATATGTGCACTATTTTATAAGAATTTGATGCTTTCACATATCTTTAGTTCTCATAGAAATTTCTTAAAACTTTTAAGGTGGTGTGCTACATCATTAACTTCAAAATCTATTTCCTTATCCTTTGTAGAAATAAAGAACAATAATAATTTTCTATAAAACTGAATGTATTAAGTACTTCATACAAATAACTTTAAAATCTTAACTGTGGATATGTGTCTATATTTTAATTGGAATTTTTCCTATATTAAAAATACCAGTTGACATTTGTGTTTGGATAAGTTTTTTTAAAAACTGGATTATAAAATGAAGCACTGTTAGTAAGGCTAATGGCGTAGGTATTAGATCTTTTGTTGTAAGTAGGGGAAATTGGAAAGGACATCTAGGTGTGATTTCATTAAGCTAGAGAGCATTGGTGTTCACATTTTAAAAACATAATCATAACTTATCTGGAGTCACATGTTCCATTTTATTGGCTTCCTTCATATAGAAAATATAGAAACCAGCACTAAATGCCTGTGAACAGTGAAGCAATGTATATTTTCTGGGTGAAGGAAGTATTCTGTACATTTTCCATGTTTTACATCATGGTATTTTGAATAACCATGCTTCCATGTTCACATCAATTTTTTGTTTTTCAATTTATGCACAGCACTTGCTCTGAAATTTGGGGACTGAGTACACCAAATACGATAGATCAGTGGGATACAACAGGCCTTTACAGCTTCTCTGAACAAACCAGGTGAATATTCTGCCCTCTGTCAAATCCCAGCGATCTTGTGGGGGGGGAGGGGTTTTGGAAGACCTATAGTGGGTTGCTTAGTATAATTTTGCCTAAGATGTTTCCTTAATGTAAAATAAGGCATGGCATTTAAAATACCTGCTTGCCAGTATTAAAAGTATATTAAATGTTTCAGCTGAAGTTTTGATCAATGAAATTCTAATTTTGAGTCTTCTTTAAATTATTGCATCCCCTAAAGAATAGGAACTTTGATAACAATATTCTCATTTTAGTTTAAGATTAGATTATAATCTGTTGTTGGCCTAATTTTTAAGTAGATACATAACCAGTTTTGCTAAATTTCTTGCTATCATCTGAATCTCATCTTCTTTATACTAATAAATACATAGTTAATTACTGAACACACACTAGGCTAACTCGCTTTTTGTTATGTTTTTTAAATCACCGCATTCTCTTTTTGAGCATATTGGTATTTGTCCATTTCATCCCATCATATTCATCACCATCTGCATTTATGTGTGAGCTATAGAAATATATCTCAGTACTGAACACAGTCACAACTGGGTAATGAGTTACATTAGTGTAAGTGAGTTACTTTTACATCATTGTTGGTATTTACCATTCTTCACACTAGTTCCTTTTTTGATTAATTCAGTAACCTACAGAATTAGTGCCCTTGAAAGCATCCCTAAATAAGACTTTGATTTACTAAAGATAAAAGTTGACAACGTTTTTCAATTGTAACTATATGATACTTTTTTTAAAAATCAATTTTTTCCCGAACGGTTAGCCAATCACTGACATATAAGTCATTTATGTAACATGTTTTTAAGAGACATCTGCTAGAGCTGCTGTTTACTTTTCTGTCAGATCCATTAAATAGTACGTTTTTCTTCTTTGTACTCACTAAAACTAACTAAATGTCTGTCATTTCTTTTTTAATGCTTTTATTGTACTAATTTAGTCCAATTGACCTACTTCTGTTTTTTTAAAGCTCCCACCTTTCTTTTCCCCTTGCTTCCCAATAGGTCTCTTGATGGTCGTCTTCAGGTATCTCATCGAAAAGGACTGCCACATGTTATATATTGCCGATTATGGCGCTGGCCTGATCTTCACAGTCATCATGAACTCAAAGCAATTGAAAACTGCGAATATGCTTTTAATCTTAAAAAGGATGAAGTATGTGTAAACCCTTACCACTACCAGAGAGTTGAGACACCAGGTAGGAAAACTAGATTTTTTTTTTCTTGTTTTAAATTAAGTGCTTAAGTGTGTTAGGCACTTACACCTAATTGACCCAGGGAAATTTTTATGTAAAATTCTAATCACTCTAAATTCAGTATATTACTTGGTGGTCATTAAAAATGCTTTATTAAATCTTTTATATATTTTATGGAAAAATATATCTTCGAGGGAAAGATCATCAGTTTCTTGGGATGGCATGCTATTTCGCATCAAAGTATATATACAAGAAATTAAAATTCCACAAATACAGTCTGCTTAGAGCTAAACTGATAGATCTCTTTACCTGTCTGCTGCATTAACTGTTTACTGTCTCTCTTGAGTGTTTTTTTTTAAGTTCTTTAATGACATCATTCTGATCTAAGCAGTTTAATAAAGCTCATAGCAAGACTTTTTGTGTACTTAGCTGTATACTTAAAACTTTTTAAGACTATAGCTATATTTTTAGAAAATATCCTAAATCTGATTTTACACATCTTTCCACAACCCTTCCAGTGGGGATTTATGAACGTCTATGTCAATATAATATTACCAGGATCACCTTGTGCCCCAAAGTACTAGATCAATTGGGACTTGAAAATTTACATTGTGGGCTATGTAGTAAACTAAAAATCATAATCATATTTGTTAATTTCTTAATAACGTGTATAAAACCAACTAGGTGGGCCCTAAATTTTAAAAGTTAAGCAGGCTACATTTTTTTCTGTGAAAACGTCTTACCTGCCACTTCTTTCTCCTTGCCATTAACTTGGATTTCTTTTACTTTGTTAGTTTTGCCTCCGGTCTTGGTGCCACGGCACACGGAGATCCTGACAGAGCTGCCACCTCTGGATGATTATACCCACTCCATTCCAGAAAACACTAATTTTCCAGCAGGAATTGAGCCCCAGAGTAATTATATCCCAGGTATTTTTCCTCCTGAATCTCTTCAAAATGGGGATAGATATAAATTATGTTCATAAACATTCAAGTATTAGTAAATTGTGGTTTGACTTTTTAAAAAATGCTTCTGGATTTGGAATAGAAAATTCTGATCTGTTGGGTGATTATTTTGTGAAATATATAAACCTAGAACTTTAAACATTTTTGTCTGGAGAAAAGTTTTACTTTTATATTTCATTTTCTTTTGCAGTGGCTTTAATCAAAGTATTGTGAGAAGTAGGAAAGAAAAGATCTTAGTAAGCTTGTCTTAGTTGTTGAAGCTAAGAGAGATGCAGAATATAAGCTAAATAAATGATACAGGAAAAAAGTATTCCTGAAAGAGATGTAATTAAAAATTGACCAAATAATCACTTTCATAGCTAATGTTTAAGAGATATGTAGCATTTCTATAGCAGATATAATATTTTAGTTCTACAGATATTGCAACACATAAGTTGTACTGAAAAACAGAAAACCTCTATTTTAGTTTCTTTTCATCTGGGTCTCAGTGAAAAATAAATGAATTCAACTATATGGTTCTCAATTCCATTCTAATAATTGTATTCTGTGATCCAGTAATATTCCATGATACAGTAAATTAAATAATTTTAATTTTCACTATTTTTTAGGAGAACAACCAATGTTTTCTTACTGTGTTTCTCTTTTTTTTCTTAGCAGAAATTAAAGGAATAATAAATATCAGGATGAGGATTAAACTATACATTGGATTTTTTAGTGTCAATTTTTTCTCCTTTTCTCCTTTTGTAATATTCATCTATTTTTTCCTATTTTTATTTTATACAACTGAAAGTATGTAAGGAACTTAGAGTTTCAGTACATAAAAAATACTTTAATTTATCTGTCTCATCGTGGAAATAATGCTTGTTCATTGAAGACAATTTTTAAAACAAGGATTTTTTTAAATATTAATTTTAAAGTTAGAAAGTGTCTTCTGATTGTTTTAATGTGCATTTCTTTGATTGGTATTTTATTCCAAAAGAAAATTTAAGACTGTTTTTTGGGTTGCTAGGAAACAAAACTTTTTGAGAAGTTAGAAGGAAAATACATAGAGTGGGATAGAGTATGAGGACTAAGATGATGGGGGAAAATGGGGCTAAAACAGCACATTTCTTAGGGAGCAGAAGTTTGCTGGGAGGAGAGTTGTGTGTGTGTGAAGAGGGGTAGGTATTTTAAATCTTTGAAGTGGGAATTAATATTATCCAACAATTTAGGAAACAGGTGTAAGCATATAGTCTTATAAGACCATCTACCCAATGATTATTTGGAAGGACATTAATCAAAATGTTTAGTGGTTTTCACTTGTTTAGATATTTGGACTTGTTTCTTCTTGATCTGTTTAGATTTGGATATTTTACAAAATAGAAAATCAAAAGTGAATTGCACCTGTTTGCTTTCCTGGACAATGGGGTTTACCCAGCTCCGACTGCTAGCAAAACCTAAGGGTTCACTTTTTATTCCACTTCAAAAGAAATTTTAAATTCTCCAAAATGCTAATAACTTTATTATTATTTTATAGGTAAATAATAATGGAAAAAAGTAGAATAGGATAAAGTATTTAAAAGATCAGTAGTTCTTCCTACTTAGACTTTTGAGACCTGGGCAGTTAAACCGGCAAAACTTAGCGCTGTTTAATTTTATTAGCTTTAATCTTTAGAATATTGCATAATGATATGTATTACTCTTATTTTTGTGTTCATTTGAATATGTGAAGGTATTTTATTCTTAGAATATCAGTGTTAAAAATTTTGGAGTACCGTCACTTACTTGAAAAGTTTGATGAATTTGTAATTAGCTTGTTGAAGGAAGATTGTAAAGGATTAATGAAGAAGACCTTTAACCTACGCCTTCTCTCTTCCCCTTTTGGTAAATTACAAATTACTTTTTAGGTATGTGTCTGCATTGTTTGAATCGCTTAAAACTGTCCAGCAATGTAAATGTTAAATTGTTGATAATCATTTAAACTTACTTTTCATCCTTGAAAGTATAATTGATAAAATTGTATGAATGTTTTTATTTTACATGAAGCTTATTTAGGTATCAGATGCCTCCTGAATATAAATATTTGTACATAGAATCTTATTTATTTTCAGGGAGTATTTTGCCTCAGTTTTATGCAGTGGTCTCTATTTGAATTTAATTTTCTGCTTCAACACTTGAGACTTACTAGTTAGAAATTCCTGGAGAAATACTTTTTAGGGTAGAATTCAAGGTAGAACGGCCCTGAACTATATATATTACCATAGTTTGCCCTGCAGAAACTAGTGGAAATTGTAAGTTTGTATTACTTTCTCATCTGAAATTTTGTGTGAGTATGGCTGGAGGGAAGGTCTGTCCTTTAATCATCTAGGTGCCCATCCATGAAGGCCATTAGTTAAAAAAAATAATAAGCCATTTTAGGTACTAATATCTTTGAAGCATACTGATTCAGAACTGAGGCATCTTTGAAGTTATATTTTTGGCTCTTGCCCCAGAAAATATACATATGGGAATGAGCCAGATATATAAATAATAGCTAAGAAAATATGCCCAGAGAGCTCGATTGCATTTCAAGTAGGCTTTAAAGACTTAACCTACAAGATTTGGAGCAGAATCTGAATTAATCCTAAGCTCTTAGTATCCAATACTGCTTTTTATAATAATGTTATATAACATTTATATTTGTTATTCGGAGCAATTTGTTGGTTATCTTTGGTAGCTGGGAGAAAAAGTGGTGAGACTAACTCTACATGACTTGTTTTAAACTTTTGTAGAAACGCCACCTCCTGGATATATCAGTGAAGATGGAGAAACAAGTGATCAACAGTTGAACCAAAGTATGGATACAGGTAAAAATATCTTTCAAAATTCCTCAGTAATTAGATTATATTTTTCCTTGTTTGAATCTCATATGAGTTATTCATAACTCTTAAATTTAGAGAAATTGGGACACATATCAAAAAATGAATCTTCTGTCTACAAGAGACCCACTTTAGATCAAAAGACACACACAGACTGAAAGAAAGTAAAGGGAAGGAAAAAGATATTTTATGTGGATGGAAATGAAAAAGCGGCGGTAACAATGCTTATATCAGACTTAAAACAAAGACAGAGGGACATTACATAATGATAAAGGGATCAATTCAACAAGAGGATATAACCGTTGTAAACATTTAAGCACCCAACATATGAGCACCTAAAAATATAAAGCAAATATAGACCAACATAAAGGGAGAGGTCGACAGTAATACAGTCATAGTGGGGTACTTTAACACCCCACTGACACCAATGGAGAGAGATCTTCTGGACACAAAATCAACAAGGAAACAGCGACCTTAAATGACACACTAGACCAGATGGATTTAATTGATATTTTTAGAGCAGTTCACCCCAAAGCAGCAGAATATACATTCTTTCCAAGTGCACATGGAACATTTTCCAAGATAGACCACATTTTAGGCCATAAAACAAGTCTCAATAAATTTTAAAAGATTGAAGTCATATCAAGTGTCTTCTCTGACCACAATGATATGAAACTAGAAATCAATTACAAGAAAATAACTGAAGACACACAAACACATGGAGGCTAAATAACCTGTTACCAAATAGCGAGTGGGTCAACAGTGAGATCAAGGAAGAAATCAAAAGATACCTTGAGAGGCTGGCCGAGTGGCTCAGTTGGTTAAGAGCTTGCCCAAGAGTGTGAGCTCTGAGCAACAGGGTCGCTGGTTCGATTCCCAGCCCGAGCTGAGCGGCCAACAGATGGCAGAATGACTCAGCTTAAAAAAAAAAAAAGATACCTGGAGACAAACGAAAATGAAGACACAATAACCCAAAATCTATGCGATGCAGTGAAAGCCGTCTTAAGAGGGAAATTCATAGGAATGCAGGCCTACCTCAAGAAACAAGTAAAATGTCAAATAAACAATCTAACCTTACATTTAAAAGAACTATAAAAACAACAGCAAACAAAGTCCAAAGTGAGTAGAAGGAAGTAAATAATAAAGATCAAAGCGGAAACAAAATAATCTAAAAAAAAAATTACAAAAGATTAATGAAACCAAGAGCTAATCTTTGAAAAGATGAACAAAATTGACAAACCTTTAACCAGATTCATCAAGAAAAAAAAGATAGAGGACCTAAATAAATAAAACCAGAAATGAAAGAGGAAAAGTAACAACTGACACCACAAAAATACAAAGGATTATAAGAAAATATTATGAACAGTGAAAAAAAAGACTCTTCTATGTTGGTTTAATTATATTTGAACCATCAAAGGGAAGGGCTCTGTTATTCATGAAAAATTAACATAAGCTGTTCAGCAGAATAATTTTTAGAATTTTTTCTTATTGAAGTAAATGAAAAATATAAGAACACTTAGATACTTTTTTTAACTTTAAACACTTATTAAAATGCAGTATTAAAATGCAGTTAAAATACAGATTTAAAAGTTATTTTGTTAGAAATAATGTGTGAACCACTTTTTTAAAGACAGTGATCTGGTAAATACAGAGCCAAACTTAGAAGACACTGGCAGTTTCAAATCATTCTATGCAAAATCACTATTTTCTTTTTTAGAAAGCCATCAAATTGAAAGTTGAAAGATTTCTTTAGTATGTGACATTACACAATAAGAGGAGATTAAAAGATAGAAAAAAAAAATAAAACCTGGTATATAACTGTTGAAAGTAAAGGAATAATATGCATGCTTATGCTTATATCTAACTCTGAAAAGATGATAATACAAAAAATGGTAATAGAATTTACTTCTAGAACAGAGCCTGGGAGTAGGCAGCGAAAGACTTAGATTTTTGTTTTGTTTTTTCCCTTTCAACATATATATTAAAGAAAAATACAAATAAGGCTTTAGACTTGTTGGGAGCTACTTTCTAGTTAAGAGAAAAATACTTACATCTTTTCTTTTTTTTCTATTAGTTTCAGGTGTCCAGAACAACCCCCCTCCCCCCATCCACTGCCCTCCCACTCCCAATGTCATACTTATCTATTACAATTCCATTGACTCCATTCCCATGCTGTACTCCACATCCCGTGACTATATGTATATATAATTGTAGTTGACATACAATATTATTCAACATCAGCTTCAGAAATACAGTGTGATGGTCAGGCTTCTACATTGTCTATGCAGTGGTATCCTTAACATAGATACTTTTCTTTTTAAATGTTCTGTGCTTCTGTTTAAAGTTTTAGTTATCCTATGAATAAATGTCTTTGTGATGAAAGGCTATAATTAGCCTAATAACAGATTTTCAGAGGAGTTTGGAGGTAAGGGATGGGAACCAGCTTTTCAGTGCGCCTTTAACATAATAGTTCTGAATTACAGTAGATTGTTTCACAAAATACCTTGTACTTGACCTAATTCATATAATTTCTAATATGTAGCTATCAACTCCAAATATAATGGAGGTAAAGTTTTAACATATAAGAAGTATTACATTAAAGCTTTAAAACAGTTGTTATGTAATAAAATGTATAGCCCACCAGAACTCAGGTTGCCAATATAAAATACTGTGATATCGTTGTAATTGTCTCTTTTGATATATTCTAACCTGTCAGTATCTTAAGGATTGAGCATGTTAATATCACAACCTGACAAATTATATCATCAACTTTTCTACATGGTTTATAGTAAGCATTCTTCAGTTATAATCATCTAAGTTATTTTTAAATGAATTAACATTGTGGTTGCGGGGGAGATTGGGAGTAGGCTGGCTTTTACAGTAATGCTGTTGTTTAAATTCTCCCATTATTTAGACTCCCAGGTACATAAGCTTGTACTATAACTAATCATATTTATAACTGTTCAGAGCAGTTGATAACCAAGTAAGATAAATAATGGTCATTGGAAATAACATGTTGTGAGTCTTACTGCAAATGTCTTACTGCAAATGATATTTGGCTTTCCAAATATATCATTCTAACATAACTGTATCTTGAAGAACTGTATCTCTGAATCAGCCATGTTCCTGTTTGACCTACAATGGACAACTGCTACTATACATTTAAATGTGAATGCCATGAAAAGATGCTCAACATCAGTAGTCATCAGGGAAGTACAAATGAAAACCACATGACATACCACTTCACACCTACTAGAATGGCTATAATAAAAAAAGGACAATAGCAAGTGTTGATGAGGATATGAAGAAGCTGGAGTCTTCTTGTTGCTGGTAGAAATGTAAAAGGGTTCAGTTGCTTTGGAAACATTTGTTGTTTCTCAAAAATTAAAGTATAGAGTAGCAGTATAACCCAGCAATTTTACTCCTAGGTATATATACCCAAGAAAATTGAAAGCTAAATTTGTATACATCCATGTTAAATTTGTGCAAAAATGTTTATGTAAGCATGACAGTCCCAAAGTGAAAACAACCCAATTGTCCATCATGTGATGACAAATTAAATGAAATATACCCATACATTGGAATATTATTTAACCATATAAAGGAATGAAGGTACCGATCCATGGTACAACATGGATGAACTCCGAAAGCAGCATATTAAGTGAAAGAAGCCAGACACAAAAGGCCTCAAGGATTCCAATTAGTGCACAGATGCCTGTTCGATAATATAGCTGAAATGTGGCAGGGAGTAACAAGATGAATATACAGTAGTCCTTCCATATCCACATGGAATACGTTCCAAGACCGCCAGTGGATGCCTGGAACCACAGATAGTACCAGACCCTGTATATACTCTGTTGTTTTCCCTTTACATATATACCTATGATAAAGTTTATAAATTAGGCACAGTAAGAGATTAACAATAATAACAAAAATAGAGCAATTATACACTATACTGTAATAAAAGTTATGTGAATGTGGTCTCAAAATATTGGACTCACCTAAGGAAGCACTTTACGGCTTCTCATTGGCATATCTGAATTGCCAGTTTCACTACTCTTGCACCTTTGGGCCACTATTAAGTAAAATAAGCGGTACTGTTGTAGAACACAAGCACTGCAATACTGCTAGAGTCTGTGTGATAACCGACACGGCTGCTGAGTGACTAACGGGTGGGTAGTATATGTAGCGTGGATATGCTGGACAAAGGGATGATTCACATCTCAGGTGGGACATAACGGGATGGCGTGAGATTTTATGCTACTCAGAACGGCACACACTTTAAACTTATTGTTTATTTCTGGAATTTCCCATTTAATATTTTCAGACTGCAGTTGACTGCAGGTAACTGAAACTGAAAAGCGAAACCGTGAAGAAGGAGGGGAGTACCTCCATATTTACCGTTTCTGCTCTTCATTCCTTTTCAGTGGACATTTGTCCAATTGTTTTAGAACCATTTGTTGAAGAGACTTTTCTTTCTCCATTGATTTACCTTGGTTTATTTGTTGAAAATCAAGTGATTAGGTGTTTGTGGGTCTAACTTTTGGTCTGCAGTTAAGCCAAGTCCATGAATTCATTTCATATAATCTATTTTTCAGTATTACAGTTTCCATTGAAACTATCTGATAATTCCAGTATCTGGTTCATATGTAGTTCTTCTTCTGTTGACTCGTTATCTCAATTATGGGTCAGTTTTTCCTCCTCCTTTGCATGTCTCATGTTTTTTTAATTGGATGCTGGGTATTGTGTATAAAATAATACTAAAGTGTAATATAGAACTTGTAAGCACAGACATGTGAATAAGGATTTCTCTTAGATGCTCTGGCTGCAAGTAACAGAAACCACTGCTTCCAGCTAGCTAAATACAATAGGATATTTTTTTACTTCTCATAACAGGAAGTTTCAAACTTCAGTAGTAGCATGTATATATGAATAACTAATAGGTTAATTACCAATTAACCTGTTTTAAAATATGTTTCTAAAAACTTCTGTTAGCTAATGTTATTAGCTTAATTTAACTTTTAAAAATTTTATATATGATTATAATGAATGTTGCTTTTTGTAATCTACAATTCTTCTGTCACATCCAACTAAACTATTAATCTAATGTGAGCTGTGACTCTACTGACCACTTCTGAGAAGTATTTAATAGAGGAGTGAACAGTTAAAAGATGAAAAATTGGGCAGTTTTCTTCATTTCTAATAGTGGCTTTGTTTATTTTATATCAGCTTCAGGAAACAGCAGTGAGTTTTAGTTCATTGTTCTAAATATATTTTGACCTTTCTTAGTTGTACCTGTTGTGACTTGCCAACAGATTTTTCAAAATGAACAAAAAAGAACGTAAGAATTTTGTTATGGAAGACTGTTCTCTCTTCTAAAAAATGATAATCACCTATTCTCTTATTTTTTTTAAAGATTTTTATTGGGGAATTGGGGGATGGAAACAGTGCTGGGGAATTGGGGGAAGGGGAACAGACAAGTTGCTGTCGTTTTGTTCTTCAGTCTAGTTGTGGAGGACGTTGCTTCACTGGCCCAAGTTGGCACCATCATTGCGCTCTTCCGGGGCAAGGCAGATCAGACGACGGCGGCGGCTGCTGGCTGCTCATGCTGGTTGCTAGCTACACACAGTAGCCCATGGCAACCCACTGCCACAGGGGCTGCAGCCTACGCCGACGCCGGCGACTTAACGGCAGCCCAGCTCCAGGTTGAGCTGTTGTTCAGCATCTTAGCTGTAGAGGGCAGTGTCACTGGCCCTCATATGTGGGATCCGAACCGGGGCCCTCTGGCGTACCAAGCCAGTTCTTAACCATCATGCCACTCGGCCGGCCTCCCTATTCTCTGTTTTTGATTAATCTGTTTGTTCTGGGGAATCGCCGTTTCACCTGTGTTGCCTGATATTTTGTTGTCATAGTTATAGTGGTGTGGGGAGGGGAGAGGTGCTCAAGGGGGGCGTCTGTCTGACCTGTTGTAGTTGTATATTTGAAACTTGGGAGCTGTAGGTCATGCTCTTTTAGATAACTTTCCCCAAATGTGTAGAGAATGATAATCAGAAAGCAAAATTTCTCCTATAATTAGAATATATTAATATTTAACACTATTTACAACAAATATGTTTTAAAATTTAGTTGCATGGAATTGAGTAGCCTCTCATTCTTTTATTCTTCTCTCTGGTTGCACCTTCTGTTTTTCATGTACTTGTGCCTCTCCCCTTATTTTCTTGATTAGATTTAGCCTGTTTACCTAAAACTGAAAAACTTGATTAATTCTCTAAGAAAATATAATTGACCAAAACTGGCTTGAGAAAATAGAACTATCTTGAGTCGACTTTCATGAAAGAAACAGAGAAATGTCTTAGAGTAAACCCTAGAAAATTATTAACTGCAAACAATTTCACACAGGAATTCTATCAAACTATTAAAGAATGTATTATTAAAATGCTATTTAAACTGTCACAGAGCATAGAAAAGACATATAGCTTCTAGATTGTCTTTATATGTGGAGTATAACATTGCACTTGCAATGTGATTCTACAATCAGTTTTGCTTGAGATTATTGATGCAAAATTCCTAAATAAGCAATGTTATCTCCCTCATTCTCAAAGCCAGTATTATACTTAATGGGAAAATACTAGAAATATTCCATTAAGAGTAAGACAAGAATATCTGCTGTCACCACTGTTTTATCAAAACACCCTCCCCATGATAAATTACATCACAGAAGTTTTTCTTAAACTGCTTACTCAAAATTAGTTTGAAAAGTCATAAGACAGATAATCAAATATTTGCAACCCATACCATAAAAAGACTAATATCCCTAGTACGTTAAGAGCCTTCTATAATTTAGTGAGAAAAGTCATCAACACCACAATAGAAAAATGAACAAAAGAAAAAAACAGAGTGTTCACGGAAATGTAATACAATATAAACAAGTATAAAGCTACTCAGTGACATTTATAAGAGAAACACAAAACTGTACTAGTTAACACCATTTTCTCACCTCTCAACAATAACACATGAGCATCCCCCCTCACCATTTATGTTGTTTCTGAGAATGCAAAATAGCACAACCTCTATAGATGACAGTTGTGGCAAACTGTATCAAAATTATAGAACCACAGCCTTTTGACATGGCAGTTTCTCTTTTAAGAGTCTATCCTTCAGATATGATTGAAAGTATGCAAAATGTGCACATTAATCATTGCAATCTTGGTTCTTAAAGCTAAAGATTGAAAATAGCCTGAGTACCCATCAATATGGGATAATACATAGATAACTAATAAGGAAACATTAACATCTCTGCTAGAATAACATAAAAGCAAAGTTCAGAACTGTTTACCATTTGTGTATAAAAAGCAGGCGGGGAGGGGGGGTCACAGAACAGAATATATTTGCTTGTATGGTTCTTAGAATATACTCTGGATTCCTTTCAGAAGGGGAACTGGAAGCCAGGACTATTTATACTCCTTTCTTACCTTTTATATATCGAAGCCTCCAAAATTACAGTCACTTAAAGCAGTTGTATACTTTGAATTCTTGGGATGTAAATTATCTGTGTGTTATTTGTGATAATTAATTACAACCAATTTTATTGTTATTGGGTCAGAAGTTCTGGAAATACTTCCTCGTCTGTTTTTAAACTGAATTCTTTTGTTTCAGGATCTCCAGCAGAACTATCTCCTACTACTCTTTCCCCTGTTAATCATAGTTTGGGTAAGTTGCAAATACTTCCCCCTACTGTTTTTATACCGCATCACTTAAGTGTCCTCTCTGGCCATTATTTTTCATATATAGGAGAAAGAAATCCCACTGAGTAATCAAATGATTGTTCAAATTAATGCTTTTTAGAAATGATATTGGTAATGTGTCTCAGTATTACTAAAACTTTTTTCTACTGGCACATAGTGTAAGAAACTAAGTCTTTTTATGCATGGAAAATCAAATTCTTTATTCATGGAAAATGTTAGGATCTACATGGCTAGGTTTTTGTGGGTATGTTTTTTATGATGTATTTTGAAATAGCAATTATTAATATAAGAGGTAATGCGTATATATGTACACATATATCGCAAATATGTACATGTGGTATGGGGTATGTGTATTTGTGTATGTGTGTTATACTTGGCCTTTATTTTACCTTACTATTTAACAGTTTCTCTTCAGTTGACACATTCAGAATTTATTCTAATTATCAATTTTTCTCATATTCCTTATGATGTATTTTAATCAAAATTATAGAAATTAAATACATGTGATCCTAGTTTTCTCGTGAAATATGTAGATTCTTTTGATTACATATTCTCTTTACACTTGCATACTCTTTGTGTAATGTGGGGGTTTTGTGACTAAGGTAACCACTGAAATCTTACGTTAAAATAAACAAATGTCAAAGATATGTCATGTTTTATATCCTGTTATGACAGTTTTTCTTGTGGCTTTTGACGCAGTCCTTGCTCCAGTTTTATTCCACTCCATCCTACCAAAAATTGGCTTTATTATGCAAGTTCATTTACTTTACCTGTCTAGTGGTTTTATATTTGAATAGGAACCAGGGTAAAACTACTAGGAGAACAAGTGATCCACCATAAAGTCTATGTTTGAAGATTGGATGACGTAATGAGATGGGGTAAATTGAAAATCGGATATGATCTATGGAAACGAGTTCATAATGTGGATGTTAAGTCTACTTCCTGAGCTGTTGCCAGTGTAGGCTGGCATGGAGCATGTAAAGATGATGATACTTGATCTGTTCTTGGCTTAAATTGTTCATACAGCATTTCTTGCTCTTAAAGGTTTGTTTTTTTCCTTCAGATTTGCAGCCAGTTACTTACTCAGAACCTGCATTTTGGTGTTCAATAGCATATTATGAATTAAACCAGAGGGTTGGAGAGACCTTCCATGCATCACAACCCTCACTCACTGTAGACGGCTTCACAGATCCATCAAATTCTGAGAGGTTCTGCTTAGGTTTACTTTCCAACGTCAATCGAAATGCTACAGTAGAAATGACAAGAAGACATATAGGTATGTTTTTCCTTGTGTGAAAAACCAATGCTCATAATGTGAGCATTCTGTGGTTTACCACATCAAGAAATTGTGCAAAGAAGCCTGCCTTCTCTCTGTCAGCTTAAGTGCACAGCTTCACTGCTTTTAATAGATCCTCGTGGTCCTAGCGTCTGCTTACTCTTCTCTTCGATTTCTTTTTGTCACCCATGATACTGGGAATTCCTTCAATAAATATGTTAACATAACTTTACCTTGCTGAGTCTTTGCAAGTCATAAAATTGTCATGTTCAGATTTTAGGATTATCATTTTAACAAATGATCAGTTGTTTTCAGATTGCTTACATCTAGTTTGTTCCCCCTTCAGTGAATCCATGTATTAAATCAAAACTTACTATTAATCTGAAGCAAGATAAGTAAAACAAGAATTACTATTTAATATAGTACAAAAACTATTTCAGAGGATCTCAAAATGTGGTAGTCCCAATACCCTTTCAGAAAGTTTATGAGGTGAAACTGTTTTCATAATGGCACTGGGATGCTTTTAACCTTTTTCACTTTCATTCTGTCATGAGTATACAATGAGCTATTCAGAGGCTAGATGGCATATGATCTTGCAAGAGATTAAAAGTAGACTCATGAGAATCTAGCCCTCTTCTGTTAAGCCAGCCATTGAAGAGATTTGCAAAAATATAAAACATTGCTACTCTTCTCACTAATTCCCCCCCCCTTGGGAAAATAGAGTTATTTTCATAAACATGTTATTTATGTTAATATGGTTTATTATTTTGATTTTTTAAATAAATTTTTTTGAATCTGTTTTATTATCTAATGGTAGGTTTCCATTGATGTAATCCACATAAACAAAAACTCTTCGGGGTCTTCAGTATGTTTTTTGACTGTGACATAAAAAAAATTTTGAACGCCACTATAATACAACTGTTGTCATCACCTTAAAGTAACTTCTTTTAGCAATAGTTTGCTTCTGTTTTCATTGAATGAACCATTGCCTCCTATGAAAAATAATGCTGATCACTACAGAGTGAGTGTGATACTACAAAGTGTTAGGGACTTAAGAGGTCTGCTACTTGGCTGCATGTGGAATTTCTCAAATCTTGCTTAATGTATAAATTTTGTATAATCTTGTTGAGGTACCAAGGTGTCTTGTAGGTGAGGAAGTCTTCTGAATATCCACCCTACTTTAACATAATTCTGGGGTTTTTTCTGTGTTTTAATTGGGGTTCCGCCTAAAAATTTAACAGGAGGTTTCCTCTACCCGATTCACTTCTCCAAAATTTTAGATTGCTGAAATTATTAGATCATCTTTTTACTTTTGATTTCTAATTTATTGGGTGGTTTTGATCAGAGAATATAGCCTGAAAAATGTCTACTTTTTGGACTTAATGTTTTCCTGATGGTCAGGTACATGTTGTTTTTTAAATAAATATCCTGTAGTCATAAGAGAACAGGGCACCAGGTTCCATATTTATGTATTCAATCTGGTTTTTAGGTGATTTTATTAGTTTTCTTTTACTGCATAACACACTTACCAGCCTGAAACTACACAAATTTATTATCTTGCAGTTTCTGTGGGTCAGGAGTGCAGGTGGTATGGATTAGGAGTGTCCTCAGGGTCTCACAAGGGGAAACCAAGCTACCATCTCATCTGGAGCTTGAGGTCCTCTTCCAAGCTCACATACTGTTGCAGAACTCACCCCTTGAAGTTGTAGCACTGAGGTCCTCATTTCCTGCAGAAGCTGCTGTCAACACTAGCCACCACCTGCATTCCTTGCCAGATAGTCCCCTCCATCTTCATAGCCAGAAATGAAGAATCTCTCATCTTGTCTTCCTCTCATTCAGTTTGAATCACTTTCACTAGGGACAGCCCAGTTCTTTAAGCAGGGATATCACCTGCTTAAGTCAGACTCACCAAAGATAATCTCCCTTTCTTGAGGTCAGCTGATTTGAGACCTAATTACATCTGAAAAGTCCCTTAACAGCAGCACCTAGATTAGTGTTGAGATGATAAAGATGGCGTGTGCACACCAGGAGTGAGAATCTTAGATACTATCTTAGAACATTGCCTTCCTGCCACAGTTGTCTTTTTTTTTTTAAATCCTTATATCGCTAATATTTTGTGTGTATTTGATCTGTCAAATTCTGAAAGAGGTATATTGAAATCTTCCAATATAATTTTTTCTACCTAATTCAGCTTATTAAATATCTAGGGATTTGGTTGCCCCCATAATATATATATATTTTTAAAAGGGGCAAATGACTTGAACCTCTTGATTTTTTTTTTTCTTAACCTTAGTGGGATCTTTAAAGAAATACTATTTATTATAATGAAGGTATATTTCTCCAAACATTAGTTAATTCTTTCAAAATTAACTCAAGTTCTTTTACTTATTTTGAAATAATATACAATTTGTATGAAATTTTAAATTTTACTGTCCATGCACTTTTCTATTATATATTGTTTAAATACTTTTGATAAGCATGTTTTATTTTTACAAATCAATAAAGTCATTGTTAAAAAGGCTTGGAAAACTATACAGTGGTATGTTTCAAAGTTAGACTTCAAAAAACACGGCTATGAAAAATATCATGTAAATAAATACCTTATATCATTTTAATATTCCACCAAGAAGACTCTTCCAAAGTCATGCTGAAATAGTAAATGTTATAAAACTAATAATCCTATATGTATTTTGTTTTAGGAAGAGGAGTGCGCTTATATTACATAGGTGGGGAAGTTTTTGCTGAGTGCCTAAGTGATAGTGCAATCTTTGTGCAGAGCCCCAATTGTAATCAGAGATACGGCTGGCACCCTGCAACAGTGTGTAAAATTCCACCAGGTATGGATGCACAATGTAAATAAACCTATCATGTCAACTTCCTGATTTTAGGAATCAGGAGATGATTTGCATGCTTGTATTCTAATATCTGTAGCCCTTTTAAAATTATTTTCTTACAGCGATACTCTTTTTACACAACTTTTTTTTTGTTTTTTTTTGTTTTTTTTGTTTTACTTTTTTCAATAATAGGCTGTAATCTGAAGATCTTCAACAACCAGGAATTTGCTGCTCTTCTGGCTCAGTCTGTTAATCAGGGTTTTGAAGCCGTGTATCAGCTAACTAGAATGTGCACCATAAGAATGAGTTTTGTGAAAGGGTGGGGAGCGGAATACCGGTATGAAATACATATTCAGTTCTTAAATTTCCACAATATAATTCTTTTTTCTTTCATCCTTTGCGTCTTCTGGAGTTCACATGTATCTGTTTTCATTGAGGTTACGGAGTCAGCAGATCTTTATGTATAATAATTAAAGAAAGTTGGAGGCCTCTAGATTCAAAACTGTTACAAATTCCTGTGCTGGTATTGTAGAACATAGAATTGAAACATGAATAGACATGCACTGTAACGTAAGGCAGTGTTAAATACCATAGAAGGGCTATATTGAAAGGGTTCTGTCACTTCGTGAAAGGAAAAAGGTTTTCACTGGGGCTCACGGAAAGCTTCTGGTAGAGATGCCACATGATTTGGGTTCTAAAAGATGCACAGGAGTTTCGTAGTCATGGGTCTGAGGGGGTGGGAAGTGATCCTGGCAATCAAATAGCAGTTCCTTTTGCCTGGAGCGTAGAAAACACAGAAGAATAAGGCTGGATAAGTAAGTTGAGACCATTTGAACATAAGGTTAAGAGGTGGAGCTTGATTCAGTAATAGAAGGGGTACAGGTGTCATCAGGCGCTGTGCTGTGTTTTAAGTACAGCATCTCACGCCTTTCAACATGGCCAAGAATTTCTGTTTCTGTTACTTTTTTTTCTTTATAAGGCTGCAATCTTTGTAAATAAAAATTGGTTCAAACTAATACTGCTTATTTGAGCTTAGAAGAGATTTGATAATTTGCCCAAGGACACATTTTAAGTGGTGGAAAAGGGGCTTGAGGAAAGCTCTCTTTGACTCTTAATCTCTTTTCTAAAGATAGTGGTAATGGTTACATAATCGAGTTTTACAAAAGCGAATTTGTCATCAGGGGATAAGATAGATTACAATAGATTAGATTCCACATCAAAGAAAAGGAAGACTTCCTCAACGTATTAAAGAATAGAACTATAAGTAAAATACTTAGTCTTTCTCCAACCCCTATGGCTTACTCTCTGAATGCCTGCTTAAGAAGATAGTCATATAGTAGTAGTGTTCCTGTTTCATTCAGTAGTTTGATCCCTTCTTTAGAATTTACATCATTTCCTTTGGACTTGATTCCCTATCTTAAAAAAGTTTTGTGAGGTGTATGATTGATTTTTCAGATAACAAGACGAGGTCTTCTCTGGTTGAATATTTTTATAAAAATATATTCTATATTATGTATTTATATCCTAGAATGGAGACTTACCACTATTTTGTCCAAATTAAAGTAGTAGAATAATTCGTTTTGTGACTTTGCTATAGTGCTCTTTTGTTTTAATCATTTTACTTTGAGATGTGATACCTTTAAAGAATGCTGAGTTCCTTTTTTTCTTTAGATTTGAATTGACTGGAATTGATATTAAAATTAGATTCAAATGGTATATATGATACTAAGTTTTTAGGTCAGAGATCAGCCACTTTTTACCTTCAAAAGATTGGAATGTTGCAGAACATGTTAGAAATTCAGTGGCATTAAGTACGAACTGCATGGTCAGGGAGCATTCCATGTATATCCGTAGATTACCTGCTAACCAGTTTTATTGCTAGAGAGAGATAACTGCCCTTCATTCACTCTGTGGACTCTGCCATTTTTTAACCCAGAGATAATTTAGAATCTTATTATGAGAAGCAGTTAATATACAGTATGTTTTTATGGGTGTCAGGCACATCTACTTTGGATAATAAAGTAGTTTTCCTTAAATATTTACAGATCAGAATAACATCAGATACCCATGTATCTGTGAACTATGGGTAGTTACCAGAAACCTTTTATCCTTAATGACACTAGAGCTGAAGAGGTAGATCTAATGACTAGATTTCTAAAACTATTTTTCCATTTCTTTAATGGCAGCTTGATTGCCAGCATAAAAAAATCAGTAATATAGTAAACAGGAAATATAGATGTGTAAAGAGTTCATATTTTATTGAGAAATAAGTGAATCAGTACTGGAGTGACTAGAGGAGTGGATAATGCCTCAGGTGCATTTTTGTGCCCAAATAAGTATAGTGACAGCCTTCTTAAACCTGTTTGTACCCTTTGTTGACCGGGATTAAGAATCCTGTAGGTTAAACTAATATAATAAAATATTCTGACTGAAAACAAAGTGGGAAATATTCAGAATTCAACAGATGGCAAAATAAAAATTAAAAGGGATCTTGGCCAAAATTACTGCAGAAGGCCTGATCTGAGGGAGAGATGGAAGGCCCGAGAAACTTTATGTGAAGAACAAAAAAAGAATGGAGGGGAAGATAAGACAGGGTTAGTCTTGCCTGTACTTCATGGTTAATGTTAGGCAGCTTGTGAAGTGTGCTACTGTAATTTTAAGCTGCGTAAACCAACATATAGTATCAAATGAAAATAAGGCAAGAAGTCTGTACAGATCAGATTTGGGACTGTTGTGTTAAGTTCATGTGTCAGGTTTTAGGAATGATCATATATCAAAATGTCTTAGTGTGTCTTGGACCCTGAGACAAAGATTCAAGTGCAAAAAGTTTGTTCAGGAAATAAAGGAAACACTGGTAAGGAAAGAGGAAGTAGGGAAGTGAGGTAGGGGAGGGAAAGCAGCCAATACCATTATTAAGCAATCTACTATTGTGGGTGGGTCACTAGCTTATTCCCTTAGGAAAACTTTGGAAAACAGTAAAGAACATACAGAATTGTCCCACCCAGAGGGAAAGGAAACTGGGCATTTAAATGCCAATTTCTGTGTCATTAGTTGTTCCTGGAGATATCATTTCCTGGCACTTTTAGCCTGGTACACATGTGGACAGAACAGAGGAGTTCTCAGACAGATAAATGCAGATACCTGCAATTGGAAGTTGTCTGGAGAACGTTTTGTTGAAGTGCTAAAAGTGTTTCTTATTAAAAGCCTGCACGATGTTGCTCGCTGGCCTCGTGAAGGAATGTTGAACTACACTGAACATTCTGTGACGAGCTTGGGTCAGAATTCTGTTTTGTTTTGGTATACTTTAAATTTGAACTCTGTTCCACTTAGACTTCATTTGGTATTTGAATATCTTCTATTATGTGGTTGGTTAATAAGTAGGGTGACTATATATTCTGGTTAGCTTGGGACAGTCCTGGTTTACATCTCTTGACCTGGCATGATTATTAATAGTGACTACATTCTCTCGTAAAGATGTCCCATTTTGGATGGTAAATAAGGTCACCCTATTAATTTTAATTTGAGGGACAAAGAATGTTTTTATAAATCTTTTTAAAAAAACAAAAGTCACTGGAAATACTCGCTAGACTTTGAGGATTAAGCAGTTTTCAAAATAATAATCAGATATCCAGACTTAATACTTGTTCAAAAGAAGTTAGGTTTCAGTATATACAACCTTTTTATTATTGTCTAAATTCTGAATGCATGTAGCTAAACATAGTTGTGTTCTTTTAATTTTATAACTATTTTCTTACATTCTTTTAAACAGAAGGCAGACAGTAACGAGCACTCCTTGTTGGATTGAACTTCATCTGAATGGACCCCTACAGTGGTTGGACAAAGTATTAACTCAGATGGGATCCCCTTCAGTGCGTTGCTCAAGCATGTCATAAAGCTTTATCACCAATCAAGTCCCATCAAAAGACTTAATGTAACAACTCTTCTGTCATAGTGTTTGTGTGTGGTCCCCATGGACTGTTTACTATCCAAAAATTCAAGCTAGAAAACAGCACTTGAGGTCTCATCAATTAAAGCACCTTGTGGAATCGGTTTCCTGTATTCGAATATTAGATGGGAAAATTAGTGTCTAGTAATACCCTCCCATAAAGGAGGAAGAGAAGATTTTAAAGACTTACTGATGTCTTGTTGGGCATAAAACTGAGTGTCCCAAAGGTTTATTAATAACAGTAGTAGGTATGTGTACAGGTAATGTATCATGATCCAGTATCACAGTATTGTGCTGTTTATATACATTTTTAGTTTGCATAAATTAGGTGTGTGTGTGCTGCTTCTTGATTTAGGCAAGCCTTTATAAAGTTACAGTACTTAATCTGTTATTCCCATTTCTCCGTTATTTTTGTGTGTCTTTTTTTAATATATAATATATATCAAGATTTTCAAATTATCATTTAGAAGCAGATTTCCCTTGTAGAAAAACTAATTTTTCTGCCTTTTACCAAAAATAAACTCTTGGGGGAAGAAAAGTGGATTAACTTTGGAAATCTGTGACCTTAATGTGTTCAGTGGGTCTTAAACATTCATTCTTGTTTGTTTGTTTACTGCTAAATCTCATTATAAGGAAGCCTTGCAGAAAATCTTTCCAAACCTCTTCTCCATTCCTACTTTTGTCCTGATACCAAAACAGTGCGTAGCATGACATCCATCGCCAGTAATGGTTGCACTGATACTGCCAGCACCAGTTAATTCTGAATACAGTAAAAATTCATATGGATTAAGTCTCTTAGTCTTCACACCAAATTTCAACAGATAATAATTGACTCGTGTAACCTAGCAGTCTATTGATTTATCCTTATACCTCTTAAAAATGCACAGGTGGCAGTATAATTATTTTCAGGGATATGCTACAATTATATTCTTTTTTAAAAGCCAATCTATAGATATAAACACTCTTTTTAAAAAAGGTATTTTTAAATATTTTAATAGCAGACCTAGTGCTCTTTGATTTGAGTTTCATTTGATTTAGTTACCAGATTGTATTATGAATGGACCTTTTGTAAATATAATTGCTTCTGCAAAATACCTAGAAAAGTTGCTGAGGTATGATCAGCAGATAAGGACCATCTGTTTTTCAAGTATGTTGTATTCAATTTATAAAATCTATTATTTTACATAATTATGAATTCAGAATTTTAAAAATTGGGGGGAAAGCTGCTTAGCAACTTTTTTAGCTTATAATTACCTACAGTCTGAACTGTTCTTAACTCATCCTGAATATATGGTTGACTATTAGAACCAACCATATTTTATGCTCTGCAGTGAGAGGAGATTCCAGAAGCTCTGTTGGTAGTCTATCCTATCTCTAATGTTAACTCATTGCTGTTTAAACATTTCTTGTTTGCATCTCAGTAGAAATTAAAAAGAAGCGCTCCTCATCCCTTTCTAGTAAACTTTCATGTTTTTACAGATAAATACCTTAGGTACTTGTTTTTTGAAACCACATTCACCTGTCTCTACAGGTGTCATTTTTTAATACTTTGCAGCATTTGGTTGTTTTCTATTGGGTTGTCGGGAAAGTCATGACTTATTTTTTCTATGTTTTTCATTGCAAAAATGCGTCATGACTTTTCCGACAACCCAGTATTAGGTATTCGTCATTTTCCAATATTTGTACGTGTGTTCTTGTAAAATTGGTATAGTAATTTTTTATTCATTCAACAAATATTTATTGTTCACGTGTTACATGTGCCAGGAATTTTCTTAGCCTTTGGGTAAAGGTGAACAAGACAAGGTAGGGTCCTGCATTTGCTGAGACAGCAGTTACTGTAACCCTTAATCAGCTTCTTTGTGTGTGAAGGAGATAAACAGGGTACTGTGATGGAACATGACAGAGGGAAGGCTTCTCTAAGAAAGTGATGCTTGAGCTAACACTTGGCATGAGAAAGGAGCAGGCCATGTGGAGAGCCAGGGGACATAGGCGTTCCTGGCAAAGAGAACTGCGTCGAATGCAAAGGCTCATTTTACAGGGAACTCATTATTAGGTATGAGTGCTTTATACAAACACCTCTATATAGATCCAAACCTGAGGATCAGAATGGTTCTAAAATTTATAAGAGTTGAAGGTGGCCTTATTTTGTGATAGACTGCTTTCACGTGTCATTCTCAGTAATATTTCTTCTTCCTCAAGCCCTTGCTATAAGAAGTTTGTCGTTTGCACCAGGTAAAAACCATTTAATTTAACAGCCCTTTTAAAAAATCGGCCTTGGGCAAGTTTTCACCATTATAGTGTCTGGCAGCTTGCTTCCAGACTTCCTGCTGCCCACTAATTACTACTTCTACAGTCCCTCTTGTGATTGGTGTAAATGTCCCAGGTATTCCCACTGTCAGGTCTGCTGTAGATAACCATTGGAGCCTCTGCCCTTTAGAGGTGTTGACTCACTCGAGAACTTGTAGTGATGATTTAGGAAACAGTTCTGGGGACAGAACAACTTTGAAAGTGGTGGAAGGTACTGGCAGTTACTCTTGCATTGATATGTTAAGTAAAGCAGTGCCAACTATAGCATTTCAAGTAGTGGATTGTGCTCTACAATTATGGTGGGGTTCTTGTGTACAGTATGAAGCTGGAACTCAACTCTTAGGAAATACCTATTGTATTGAGCAGTTGACTTCATGGTGGTGACTACATTTGTGTGAATATGTTTAAGGATCATGGTCATATTTGCTTTTTTTTTTTAACTTATGAATTCTTATTTCTGGAATTTCTGGACCACAATTGACCAGGGGTCACAAACCATAGAAAGCAAAACAGTGGATGGCGGGGGGACTACTGTAGTTAACAGAGAGGCAAAATTAACCCATTTTACATTAGTGATAGACAGGTTTTTAAGCAATACCTCCCCAGAGTTTCTTCTTGATGAAGATGATGAAGCTAAAAAGCATTTTTTTGGTCTACTTTTCTTCCTCACATTCAGGTAGTCCCCCAAATATACAGCAGTTTCCTGCACTTTCCACAATTCAGATTTCTTGGAATATTTCAACAAAAGAGCATCTGCAGTGCCCAAGTAGAAATCCCAACCAGTGGCTTTTTTCCATGTTTGCTTTCTAATGACATGCTGTTTTTGCATTCTGTATTGTTTCCTATGGCCTCATGTTGATCGTTTTGGTTTTTCCCCCCCCTTTATGGGGTTGTTTTCATTCTTCTAAATGATGAGATCTCCTCTCTGTTGAATTTTGTCTTTATTTAAATTAGCAGCACTACTTAGAATTTCTCCTCCCCAGTGTTGGTAATTTTCTCAACAACATGAGAACTGAATGAACACGCTGTCACATTTAGATGAATGGCGGTTTTCACAGTGGATTCCATAGAGACACCTTAGGGAATAGGAGTCTGGTGATATCCCCTCTGACTTTGGTCTACCAGTGGCAGCTTTATTTTTATTCTATATTGGAGTTCTACATAGATTTTTGGTTTGTTTGTTTGTCTTATTGCTGTAAAACAAAGTTTGAAAAGCCTTAATAACCACTGGTTAAGGTTAGAAAACAACTGGATTTCAGCCCACCTTTTGGAATAACCCTCCTTGTATTCTTTTCTCATCCTACTTTCAGAAACTTTCCTGATTAGGTTGAACTACACTAATTATACATGATGATGTACATTAATTCAGTAAACATTTATTAATGCCTATTCTTTACCCAGCCACTGTGATAGACATTGAGTAATAAAAAGATGACTGGGATTTGGTCCTGTCCCTCTGTGTGCTCAGTCTTATGGAGGTTCCTTTCTCTCTTGGGACCCATCATATACCAGAAGGAAATCTGCCTGATTTTTCTTGGAAGCTAAATATTCTTATTCTGTACTCTTACTCTTAATTCTGTATTCCAAGAATATATTTGCAAATTGTTGAATATTAGGATTTTTTTTTACCTTAATCCATACCCAGTTTTGTTTGATTCATCTCTCTTAAACATTGTTAGATTTTCTCCTTTGTTAAAATTATTTTAATTTCACTTTTTTCATACCTTTATTGTCAATTTCATCAAGACTAAAACTTCGAAAGTAAACAGTCTAGGCTCTTGCTAGCTGAAATCTAATAAAAGAGTGTATATATATATATATATATATATATATATATATATATATATATATATACCCAGTTGGTTTCTCTACCTCTTTTAAAAGCTGTCCAAATATACCATTAAGATCTTTCTGTCTTTTTTAAATAACTAAATACTTTGAGCATTTATTCAATAATAGGCACCCTCCTGGTCTGGTTGATGGGGGATCTAAAGTAAAACAAGACAGTCTTCACTGTACTTAAAATTTGTCTTACGTGCAGTCTTTGCTTTCATAGCCAAACATTCCAGCTTCACAGTTTGCCCCCATGCTTACTACCCCTCAGTATCTCTTTCGATAACTAAGTAGTCTGTGTTAATAAGCAACACATGATTTTTTCTTTTACTCAGATCTAACACATGCATGTTTAGACATAAATTATTGCCCATTTTGTTTTCCTCCATGGGCAATAATGCAAAATCCTTCATACTCATCAGCTGAATTTTGTTCTTTCCTCCCCTTCTCTTGACAACATATGTCCCTAGTGGTTTTGCTGGTTGCCCTCTTCCTTGCCAACATGTTTTATCTGCACATATCAGAATGTTTCTCTCCTTTGAATTTTACTCAAGACCAGACAGGATGGTGCTGTTCCTACCCAGAGTCCTAACTTCTTCGCTATGAAGGTTAATGTTCAAATTGGTCAGTCACTTCACAGGAGACGTTCTCTCGTCTTAAATGCCTTTGTGACTAGCAAATAGCATAAATCATCAGATGCTGTTTTAACTTATATTTAGGATTATGAGCTTTTCTGGCAGTTGCAGCCCTGTTTCCACTGGAGCATATTGGATTGTTGTACTTAGTACAATCAAGAGGAATGACGATAGTGTGTGGTCTCTAGAGGTCGTCAGAATCCTACTATTGACTTCCTATTATACCTTCCTTTTCAAGTTTCCATTCTTTTTTCTTGGTTCAGACTACTTTTTATGTGGGGATTGAGGGACAAATTATCTCTTGGCGTGTAATTGCTGTTTGTTGCCTCAATCAGGAAATATGAACTATACTAGATAGAGACAGCCTCACGATAGTCATTATGAAAAGAATGTCTTGTCTAATGTGTTCACATAATTTCTTGAGTAGGAACTGTTTTATCTTGGATAGTATAGCTAACTTTATATATAGCATAACTGCCTTAAATCTTTTTAGTAGGAAATCAATTATGTAATGTGTATGTATGGATTTATATATACATGTACACTTATAGAAATACCTTAACAGTAGGGGTCATTTATCTGCGTACATTTTAACAATGTTGAATGCTTCTGTTGTTTAAATTTCAGATCTCGGTAAAAGGTTCTTAATTTGCTTGTAGACATTTTCCTTTCATGGACAGACCATCAGAGTAATTTTTTTATTCTGTTGGAGTCCTGGCTGTTCAGTTAGTATGCCATTTTCAGGCAGCTTGACAAATAAGTCATAACTGGAATTCATTAACATCAAATAAAGCTCTGCCATATACCCTTCATTAAATTATTATACATCCAGTGGTCTCTGGAAGGTACTAACTTAGGATTAACTTTCTTTTTCTTATTTAATATTTGATTGTGATCCCTCCCCCCCACCCCCTGCCCTTAATTTTCTGCTCTGTTGGTAGAAGATTGCTGCTTAATATACCCTGGGACGCACCACTACCAAGTCAAGTTCTGTATTTAAGGGTAACCTGAAGATGGTTCAGACCTGACTTGCTTAGCTGTGCTCAACAGAAATGGACTTCCCAAAGTTCCTGGGGTCATCTCTGATTCACAGAGGACCCGACTAGAGTATATTAGCCTACGTTCATTTCAGTGTCAATTGGTTTGCTGACATGAGATCCATAATAGACCCAGAATTTCACCATTAGTTGAGATATAAGGACCCCCTTGGAAGAATAATGCCACTGATGATGGGAGTGAGAAGTATTCATTAACTCTACACAAAGGACTGTCAGGTTTTTTTCCTCCAAAAAATTTCCCAAGAAAGGATGTTCTACCTCCAAAACAAAAAGCTCTTCTCCAAAATTTCCAGTTTGCTCTTTTGGGTTTGGGGTAGGGATTTAATTCTTATTTCGAATTAAGCATGATAATTTATTGAACCATGAAATCTATAATGTATTGATTTAAGGACAAAAGTAAAGTTTTAGAATTATAAAAATAACATTTTCTTTTTCACACTGCACTTTTTCTTTTTTTCTTTTTTTCTCCCTGTAGACTAAAGCTTTTTGGCTATTTTACAATGTTAGTCACTAGATAACTTGCCATATTTCTGGTTCTATATTAAGTTCTACCCTTTGCAATGCTGTAGCATAGAGTTGGTTCTCAGCATTTGTGGGAATAGAAGTCCTACTAAACTCTCTTTTCTTCAGAGATTTTCCTTGGCAGAATAAGTCCCTAAGAAAATATCTATTTGTCACTTTGATTATTCACATTCCTATATTGTTCAAACAGAAAAAAGTATTGGTGATAAAGAATAGGGTCTTTTTCTGGTGACTGTATGTACCTGCGTTAAGAATGGAATCATTTGTTGGTTTATGTCACTGATAGACACACACATCAAATTGGGAAAATAATTATCACATACATAGCAAGTAGGTAACATGCATGGATTAAAAAAAATTTTTTTTAAGCCCTATTTTTTGACAAAGTGCAGAACCCAAATTGGTCATTTCTTAGACCAACTTTACCTCAGGATTCATTTTTGCTTTTTTTGACCCTGACCTTTAAGGCATAAATATTTGTTTCTTTTGTAGTGATAGTGAAGCTGTGACATTAACCAGTTTTATACAAGAGGGCAAAACAAGAAAAACTAGAGATTAAGATGAAAGCAGTTCTGCACTTGTTGAAGTAGATCATAGCATTGTAGGCAAAATAAAAATGTTCATATCTGAGGATATTTTTTTGCCATCTTTCCCCAAGGCCAGACTTTCTGGTGGAACACAGTTAAAAGGAACATAATTCAGGGCCTTTGTAATCTGAGGGAAATAACCTCCAGCTGGCAGTCGCCTTTTCAATATATGAAGCAAGAATGTGGGAAATAGTTGGCATTGAGTGTTTTCGCCTAAAAATAAGAATATGAAAAAGCATATAAAACTGGATTATTCATTTAGCTCTGAAAATCTCAGTAGAATACTATATAACTGGACAAAACCACAAGAACCTTCAGAGGATTTGTCTGAAACAGGTTTCAAGGATGAATTTTTATACACTGCTCACAAATTTGCAAACTGTTCTTGAAATTGACACTGTTAAGTAAGGTATTTATGGACTTCTAGGAACTAGCCGTTAGTGAGTGTCCTAAAATTATTTTGAGCCTATGCCCACATCGGTAGCCTTATGCTCTTGAAAATTATTTTCTTTAGTGATACCAAGGATTGAGTGGTGGTTTTAGGCTGAGCAACTGCCCTGGTATGACTGGGACTGAGGTTCCTTGAATGCGGGACTTCCATAGCTAAACCCAGGACAGAGCCAGGGGTACCCCAGGAGGAGCTGATCACCCTAGATATTCTTGTGATTTATCCTCACTCCCTTAAATGTTGTAATAGTTGGGATTAAATTCAGCTGCCTTATGGCTGTCAACATTTCTGATACTTGGATATGTGTCCTCCAGTGACTTACTGGGGATGGACTGGGAGATTTATAACAATAGCTAGTGGCACCAACATGGTGGTGAGAGTGACACTAGTAATGCATGGAAGGTAACTGGTGGTTTAATGGAGTAGAGAAGAGGCAACTAGATAGCTAAGTCCTTCAGAACTGGTGTGTATATGTAAGTACATATCATATCTTGATGGGGTTAAATGTAATCTGACATTGAAATTTTTCACGGTAAATGAAAACTGAGTGGTGGTGTGGCTTTCTTGAGGGAAAATATGGCCTTGGATGCTCTATCCTCTATTACATTCCCCAGACTGTCCTGCTCCGGAAGCCAGAATGTGGTATTATATTCTCCGTAAATGTTTATTGAGATTACTAAATGCATCAGCCAATGGCAGGTGAACAAATTGGGCGTCCTGACCCAGACTGAGCAGTGCCCTCAGTTCTGATAGCCTACCCCTCAGGTGCTTAGCAGCTGGAACACCGACCATAGGAGGTGAAAGTTTTCTAACACAGCATTAATTTTGTAATGCAATATGATGGATGCAGTCTGTTCTTGTCTCCCTGTGGTAGTACTCAGAGACTGCATCCTCTGTGCACTGTGATGTAGATGGTAGATGTGTTCTTTGTAAGCTTTAATCCTACGATTGTCAAAAGTACGACGTGGTTCCATTTTTTTTAATTAAACAATGAGCTGAGGCTTTATTACAGCTGGTTTTCGATTTAAAATTGTGAAATACTGATTTCCTTCCCCCAGCCCCCACACCAAATATTTTAGTCTATTTAAAGTACAAAAAAAATAGTTCTTAAGAAAACATTGCTTAACTGTCCTGTGATTTCTGGTCAATTTTTATACATATTCGTGTGTGTCTGTGTGCTTTCACTTTTTACCTTGTTTGCTCTCTTCCTGTGTTAACAGTACTTTCACCGTTGAAAGGTGAACATTTTTTCCTAGCATTAAAAAAAAAAAAAGCCATTTGAGTTGTTTACCATGTTATGATGGGACTAATTTTTAATTGTTTTAATTGATTTTTATTTAAACTCATCTTTTTTTTAGAGGGGATTATACTTGGCTATCCATGCCCTAACTTTTATGGGGAAAAAAAAGTGTGTATTTCACATAATGGAGGTATGATATTAGGAGTACATCTTTTTAAGTCTGGTGTTATATAAAAAATTAATGCCACTCCCCTGGCAGACAGATATGCACTGCTTAATATACCCCCCCACCCCACACCACCCCCCCCACACACACACACACAACACATACCCCACAGTGCTAGTAAGTTATGCATTTTAGTTTATTTCAGAGCTTGCCTATACCAAATTAATGATCTAGTACACATGGTCTATGCTTTAAACAAAAACAGACTAGAAGGTAAAATTCACCTTGACTCTTGAAATATACTCTTAGGAAAAAAGCAAGTGCTATTTTTTTAAAAAAGATTCCATTGAAAAATGTAGCATACTCACAATTGTTTTATCTTCATCATGAAATAATTGAAAAACTTAAAACTTTTTAGATCAGTCAGACTTCCTTTGTGTCTTGCAGGAGCTGAGTTCCTAGGATGAATCAGTACTTCTCTGGTTAGCAGACTGCTTCCTTCAAACCATTTAAAACAGACATGCTTTAGGATATAACAAAAGGGACCTCAAGAGCTAAAATACCTAATGTGACATGGAACAACAGCCCAGGGACTGGCATGGTTTCATCATCAATTTTGTTTAAACAAATTCCACTTAAATTGTTACACCATACTACTATAAACAACCTAAAAGAAACCTTCCAACATTGAACCTAAAACATCACTTCAGTTGACAGAGTGACTAACAGAGATCCTTTTCCATTGTCATTTCACCCTGGGAACGTTAGTGACACTGGTTATCTTCACAGGGAGATTTCTGCAACAACCCTAGTGTCCATAATGGCACATACTCTTCAAGGGGCTGAAGAGTAGGGACGAAGTATTAAGTTGTATGTTTGGGCTCTCTCTCCACTTTGCAAATCATTTTTGTCTCTTGCTTCAAATTAGATGGAAAGCTCCTTAGTGCAGAAAGCGGAATATTAGTGTCAATCTGGTATACCAATGCAATCATTTTAAGCACCAGCTATGTCCCAAGAGCTAGGGTGGAGACCGTCCTCATTTGCTACAAGAACATAATCTGCACCATGCAATTGTCCAGCATCCTTTTTAACAGACTCTTGTCCTTTTCATCAAAATACAAAAGATGAACCCAACCTAAAAATTAAGTTCACAAATCTAGGAATCCAAAAGAAAATGGCAAAGGCATACATCAAAGCTTATCTGCTACAATGAATAGGTACGAAAGTATTTGTTAAATTGGTTAAAACTGATGGTGTTTTTGTAAACAAGCTAAAGTCATGCTAGTTTGCACATAGGCATAATTCTTAAAATTGACCATGTTAATAGGCACGAACATTCATTCAGTCAGACTTGTGGGTAACAAGTGATAAGCCAACAGACTAAGCACGCTCTCTCTTTAGGAAGTTACAGGAGAGTAGAATGCGTTTCTGTGCCCCATTCTAAGCTACTTGACCTTATTGGGTATAGAATACATGTGGAGTCTGAGATAGGGATTTGCCGGCTTTTATGACCTGTCTTCAATAGTTCTGTTGGCTGCCTCTGTACCTACCTTAATGCTATGTGGTAATAAGGTTGCTTAAAAGATTTCTCAAGTACTTCAGGAAAGAGATCACAGAGGAAGGAGAAGGTGCTTCTGAGCAATATGATGCAGGACGAAGATGGGCAAAATGTGTAAGCACTGTGCGGAGGATGCATTGACTTGGAATAGATGGAGAGGACTTTTGAAGCCAGTCAAAATGAGGTCTTGGAACAAAACTCTTGTTTATGGATCTGAATGTGCATGAAAGCTGGACATGACTAATCTGTGCATGGTGAGTAGAAAATTGACAACCACAAGCTTGGTAGATGCTACTGTGAAGCCCACATCTAATAATAGAGCCTAGAACTCTGGGAGGTAAAAGCCATGAGCTATACACCTTGGGTTACATAATCTGCAATGAGATTGTGCTGCTGAGCAGGCAAGCTGGGCTCAAGGGCAGTGCCAGCCATAATCCCAGGCAAGGATGGAGCCGATGATTTTGGGGGGTTGGGGCAATTTAGACGTATACATGTGGTGTATTAATTGAAGCTTAACTTTTGCTCACAACTGGAGGTTATTAATCTAGAGAATCCTCTGAAATTTTGTGTACATGTAGTTTTTCTGAGAAGTAGCAATTATCAGAGGTCTTAACCACTGCCCAACAGCAATTCTCCATTGAGACCACTTATGTTGAAAAACTAGAATTCACTCATCTTGTTCGTTTTTTTCATGAGAGATCTTATCTCTGAACTATAGTTCATCACACTATTTTAAATATAAATGCCATGTAAATAAGATTTTAATACAAATGGTGACCTGCTTTTAAATGGATGTTTGCAGTTTTTAGTATATTTGGGCTGCAGTGGGACAATGAAGATTTAAATAAGCCTCATTTAACATCTGGAAGAAAAATACGTTGCCTTTTTATATCCAAAATATATTGAAAAAAACAGATTAGTGTCTTTGTTTTACCCAAGAACCACAAGCTACTTCATTCCAACTTTTAAATTAAGATCTTGAATAATAGCATGTGGTATCACCACATTTTAAAAACATACTTAGTCAATCACAAACATATTTTCTAAGGAATTGAATTTTATAAAGATAATTGAATGCTTTCATCTATAACAGAATTAGTGGCCTGCAAACCACGGTGGTTTTTTGCTATGCTCTGAAGTTTTAAAAGGGAATTTTCTGCTACAAGTTACATGCATAAAGGAAGTAGGAGGCAAAGGAAAATTCAATTTTTAAATCCTAAAATGATAACCACTGATAAAAAGTTACACTAAAATTACACTAAACGTTTTAACTACTTTTTAACTAAAGCATTATTTTCCTGTCTTTTATTCCACTATCCAGATGCTTAAATTTAACTTAAGTATAAAATCAATATTTTATCAAGCTATATTTGATAAACTAAATTTGGAGTTCAGTCTCTAGCAATGTCTATATCTCATGGTGTGATTTTCATTCATCCAAATTGTCAGTTCTCTCCATTATGTCCTGCTTCCTCCTTTTCCAGTCCACCCTACAGTCCCCTGCAATTAAACCCTAGAATACGGCCATATCTTAGGATAGTTAATTGACTTGTTTCTATTAATTTTTGTAGAACCAAAATCATAAAAGGGAGAGATGTCTAAGAATCTGGCTTATTACGTTCTTTTAAAGATCACCTTTGAAAATGAGTTCATATTTTGTGTGTCCGCTATTCCTAGTTTATATTTATGTGGGTGTGCTTTTTTCTAATCAGTATTATCACCGAGGAACAACTAATTTTCAAATTTACAATTTACATAATTAGTGATTGGCTGAAGAGGGCTATTGAACATAAAATCCTTTAAGATAAAATGGGGAAAATGGTGGAGGGTCTGTATGATTTAGTCTGGTTGACTGGGTGCTTCTCAGCTGGAAGGCCATTTCAGCAGCAAGGATGCTAATGGTGGAATGCTTGAAGAAAACAGCCCTGTAATGGTCAAATACTAAAGCTATCTTGGATGATGGGATAAAAACTCAATTGCCTTCTTTAAACAAATGTTTTCTGTCTTTAATGACTTTGGGCAGAATAACATTCCTCTAGTGTGAAGCCTTAGTTATCATTTCTCATGTAATGGAAAATGCAACTGGTCTCAGAATCAGAGGTCTTGGGTTTGGACCCCGATTCTGCCAATTTATGGTGACTTTAGACAAATCATCTAATCAGTCTGGCTCAAGTTCCTTATTTCCTCAAGATTCCCCAAAATGAGGAAGTTACTTTTCAGAGTGATTATGAGGATTAAATGAGAGTCTTGAGAGAGCACTTTGCACAAAGTAGGTGCTCAGTATTAGATGACTGAATCTGTAGTTTACAGAATGTCAGGAGATGCTGACAGTGAAGGTCTTTACTGCCAAATCTTTTCAGAAAAGTTTCGAGAGAGATGTCACACTCAGATGTCAAGTAAGTGAAAACCTATTGTAGCAATTATCTTGCCACAAAAGTAATGCGCACAAACCACAAAAACCCTGTGGCGTGCAACCGTAACATTCATTTAGTTCATGAGTTAGAGCAATGATTTAGGCTGGGTTGCTCTGGGTAGTTCTAGCCATGCCTGGGGAGCATTGCAAGGGGAGTTGGCCTAAATGGAGCCACTCAGCCCTTTTTCCACGTTTCTCATTCCACCATCAACTAGCCCAGGCATGTTTTCATGGAGGTGGCCAAGGGCAGCAGCAGCCGAGCCCAATCCCACAAGCCCCTTTCAAGTCTGCGTGCTTCTGCTGACCAGCATTCCTCAGAAGTAAGCCACATTGCTAAGCACAGAGTTAAAGGCACTATGGAGTTAAATGGCAAAGAGGGAGGCTCCAAGGAGGAGTGAAGAATTGCCCTAAATGCAGTCAATCCGCCAGCCCAAGTTTTGTGCGGTCCAGCAGTTGTACTTGTTTGCCAGTGAAGAGGAAAATGGAGAAGCTGAAGAGATCCAAGCTGGGATCTATTTGGATCAAGTGTTCTGAATTCATAGAGCATTAAGTAGAAACCTATTCTAACATATACTGCGAAGGGGAGTTAAAACCAAAGGAATGTATTTTCTTGTCTACTCTAGGTTCGTCCCTGCTGTGCTCCTGGCCTTGACCACATGACTGGAATGAACGAGCGCCCTCTAAACTCTGAGCCCGGCTCAGACAGAACTAGAAGAGTCTACCTCATAAATGAGGTAAAAGGAAGCATTCGATTCAGAGAGATCTTTTAACGAACATTGACATTCATGAATGCCACTTCCAACACCTTCCTGGGACTTCTTAAATGCAGAAATGCTATATAAACCTGCTGTACTCCATGCTGGCCATTTGTACAAGTGTGGAGTGCTTTAGGGAAGCTCTACCAATAATAATGCTTTAGCAATAATCTGGTGGGTCACGGTGTGTTGTAACTGACACGAATGTTAAAAAAGGAAACCACAATTATCTGTGTCCTGTTTCTGTATTACAAGTGTCAGAATGGAAGCGTCCAGATCTCCGCTATGGAGGAAGTTAGGAAGTGAACTTCGCTTTGGTGACACAGCTGTGCTTGGTGGCCCTAGAAAGGGGACTTAATCTCAGGCTTCAACTTCTGTGTGTCCAGTGTTTCTTTACCACATTTTTCAGAGACCTGAATCTATTTTTCCCTGAATATATGTTTAAGTGGGCTCCCCTTTCCCACACTCATCTTTAATGGTCACATAACTTATTTTGATTTTCATATGTAAATACACGAAAAAATTGTGTGCTCTTTTACTGGCAGACCAGTGAATGGGACTACTTTTTATTTTTTATTTTTTCTTTCTAATATACCTATTATTTTTGTAAATTACAAAAACAAGCAAAAAAGCCTACTCACATTACAACAACCAGAGAAAACCAGTTTGGTGTAATTTTTTCTACTTTTACTTTGGACGTATATGCATATTCATCAGGAAATGTTTGAAGCCTCTCTAACAGCACTGTCATTTAGAGAAAACTATTAGAAATCTTAAGAAAAATCTCTAAAATACATTAAGCCATTCAGCAAGCCATATGGAGATGTAATTTATTTTCACTTCCTCTGAACAACACAAAAGATCTGTGTTGGTCTACGTAAAATTTGGTGTTTGAAATTAAGTATAAAAATTTTAGACATCTTTTTCATGCATGATTTTTTATGTACTCTTAAGTTGACTATATACTTTGACTAGTGTATTTGGAACCAAACTTTTTTTTTTTCCTGTGTGTGTAAATTTATTAAAGCCATATTTCTTTGAGTTACTGGTTTAATTCACAAGATGTACTAGACACCAATTATTTATCAGCCACTGTGCTAGATAGTTAAAGCACTCAGAAAGTCTTAAGAGCCCAAGAAAATTATCAATCTTAGGAAGCCCTTAGAATGAACAAACCCCTCATGAGAGGATTCAGTGACTTTTATACAAGAGCGAAAGGGAGGCAGGAGTTGTGCCATGGATGTTAGGAGGAAGGTGAGTGGTTGTATCAGAAAACCAGAGAAGGCATGTTATGTTATTAAGTTAAATCTAATATTCCAAAGAAAATATTGCAAGGTATCTCATTTAATTTAAAATAGTGATTTCATATACTATTTATGAGTCCAATAATTTTCAAATTGAAAAACCTATTAAAAACCCTTTCCTATCTGTGGTAGTTCTGATACAGTTTATAAAATTTTCATATCTAATTTTCTATAGAAAAAGAATTACTTAATTCTTTAATTACTTAATTTTTAAATAATCAACTAGCTCAATAAGATGTTAACAGAATGAAAACTGTCTTAACAACACTATGTCACTATTAACTTTTTTGCTATATTTAATTAGGGATAACATTTATATGCATTGAATTTGACATTGAATATATAGTTGATTTGTTACAGTAAGATCGTTATTACTTCATTTTTATTTGTTTCTTCAAACTGTATTACTTCCAGATCATCTAAAGTCATCAGTTCTATAACGTTTCTTTGTCTTGTCTGTTGCAAGTGTCCTAAAATAAAAGTGTGCAATGGAATCAAAGAATATTATTGATCAGCTAGCAGTAAGTGTTCAGATATAATTAGCATAGAAAGTATATTGGACATGCATAGTATTAAAACATGCCAACTTGATAAATTAATATTATGTTAAGGTATTTGTGATTACTTCCTTGATAATGTTTTCATAAATTATTTAGGTAGTTTTTAGGTCAAGATCTATCTTTTCTTATTTTCCAACTTATAATTGTATTACCCAAACGTATTTTTACACATTTTACATATAATATGAAAATGTCATAATACGCTTTGGGTTATTTTTTTTAAAGCTACATGTTATATGTTTTCTTTATCAAATCCAAAACTTCTGAACAATACAATGCAGGGAGACCAGTTTATACAGTAAAAAACATAAAATTCTATTCCACCCCATCTCAACTGCCCTCCTTTTAGAAAGCCTTTGGTGGTTTTGTCGTTACTATGTGTGTGGAGTGGGAGCTAAAACGGTAAGTCTGGTGCCCATCTGGCCCCTACATAGACTTTACAACACTATTGATGATATTCCCCATATTGTGTTTCACATCCCCGTGACTATTCTGTGACTACCAATTTGTACTTTCTAATCCCTTCACCTTCTCCCCCATCCCCTAATCCCCCTCCCATCTATATAGCAACCATCAGTTTGTTCTCTGTATCTATGAGTCTTATTTCTGTTTTGTTTGCTCCATTATTCTGTTTTTCAGATTCCACATATAAATGAGATCATAAGATACTTGTTCTCAGTCTGACTCATTTCACTTAGCAAAATACTCTCTAGGTCCATCCATGTTGTTGCAAATGGTAAGATTTCATTCTTTTTACAGCAGAGTAATACTCCATTGTATGAATGTACCAGGATTTCTTTATCCAGTCAGTCGTCCATTAATGGGCACTCAGGTTGCTTCTATGTCTTGGAAGGGAAGCTGATCTGTCCCCAGGTTCTGAAAGGCCCCACTGTGAGATGTGTCTTTACCATCCTATAGGTGACCCTCCTGCTATTCCCACAGTGACTCCAAAACTTGCACTCTCCTCACTTCCAGCCAGTTCTCCTCACCACCTTAGCTCAGTGGCAGAGGGAAAGTTTCTTACGTCAGGGCTAAGCCATGTGCTCTGAGCCCTAGCTGGTCTGCAAGGCTCCTCCAACACACTTCCAGTCAGTTATTTCTTTTCAGATGCCACTTGCCCATTCCTGCAGCCTACACAGGCTCAGTAACTCCTGCTTTAAAAGACAACAGGAAAATGAAGACAAAGTTCCTTGCAACCCTCACGACTCCTACTTATCTCTCCTGTTTACCACCAAGTGTGTTGAGACCAGTTTATACCAGCCATCTCCGTGTTCTCTCCCACCTCCTTACTGCAGTCACCACTGCGCTTTCTGCAGTTGCCCTTGGGCACTGCACCTGCCTTTTCCCTCAGACTTGGAGGAGCTGATGTCCTGTCCAAGGCGAATGCTCGTACCAGGGTTTGGTGAGGTTCCCAAACTGGAGTCACAAGGAGAGCTGTTGAAATGCAGCTTCGCTGGCCTCCCCTAGGCATTCTGATTTAGCAGATCTGCACTTGGAACACTGGGATTTGCATTGAAGAAAACCAGTTTTTGTCAGCCAGCCAACCACGTCTTCAGACCGTGCTTCCTGTGGGCTTTCAGACCTTACCCATCACTGTTCTTTTTTCCCACCTCCCACACATTCAGACGCAGACCATGCAAACAAAGTTGCAGTTTCTTAATTTCGAATCCTTAATTTCACATCTCGCCTGAGCCCCATCTGGCTTTGGGAGGGTGTGGGAAGAGGTGGATGGCCTTAACTTGCCAAAGATAATTCATTTGCTTATTCAGTCTGCCTTGGACTTCAGACGGCCTCTTTGGAATAAATGTTCAGCTTTTGAAAGCCTCTTGTTTTCCTCCCTAAGATGGCATCTAGAGGATGGGGAAGTTGAGGTCATCTCTGGGTGACAGAGGAAGCAGGTTCTCCAATGCCAGTTCTCAGGTCCTTGGACAGTCCTGCTGCTGATGTTCTGTTCTTGTCTCTGTTCATTGGCCACGGTCCTTGCTGAATGTGCTGGTTGATGTAAATGACTCCATGGTTTTTGTTCACGTGTTAGCATGTCCTGGAGACCACAACCCTGCCATTACCTTTGCTCTCAAGGTCTCTAGTTTCAGCAGCCTCCACTTTCCAACTTCAGGACTGTGCATCTGCTTGGCTCTTGGTGGGGGTTAAAAGGGAAGAGGTTGGAACTTTGGGATGTCCTGAACTTCAGGAAGCCAAGAGTATTTTCTCAGACAAGCTAGACAGCTCCTACCAGAGCTGAGCTAATGCCTCCACGCCGTATTGGGTATGCCCCGAGTCACAAGTAGGATTTCTTTCAGTGGTTTGCAGCCTTCCCCAAACTATGCCTTGGAAAGTAGTCCATTAACCCATCATGCAATTCCTGTTTCACTCTCCATCCCCACTCCTCTTACACACACACACACACACACACACACACACACACACACACACACACACACACACACACGAGGTTTGACCCTGAGAAGTAGAAAGGTACAGCAACAGCTCTTCTTTACAACCTGCCCTTTCTTTCTCCCTGCCCTGCGAGTCATTCCACTTTCTCCCTAATGAAGGGAGGGACTTTCCTTACATCAAACCCCAAGGTTCCTCTTTGTGGTGTAGAGTAAAACCCCATGTTCAATTGTCCAAACTCGGTGTGTGAATGGAGCTCTCAGAATTTAAAACTCCTTTGCATTCTCAAAGTCTCACTTTCAAGACTCCTTGTCCTCTTCCTAGAGATGCCAAAGAATAATAAATTAATAAAGGCTCTGTAGGTCACAGCCAAGTAGTAACTCTTATTACTCTAGTACACTTCCTTTCCTGTCATTATTAAGCTTTATTGGAAAGACTGCAGGGAGGGGTCATGTACAAGGAAAAGGGAATCTTTAATAACATCAAAGCATTGGCCCAATATAGACATTCTTGCCCCGGACTTGCTCTTTCTGGCTTCAGTGTTTGCCTCTTCTGGTCCTACGACCTTGAATGTCCTTGGACAGCTTGATCATTCCTCAAAGCCCAGGTCAGATATCACCTCCACCCTGGACCTTGCTTTGTTCCTAAACTTCACTGTCCGCGTTAAATGCTGGGAGAGAGCATTCATCATATTATCATTAGTCCTATGTACACCTAAGTTCTTTGCTAAATCATGAGCTCCTTTCTGCCTTGGAAAGCTCTCCAGCCTTTGCTCTGCACTTCCAAATGTATCCATTCTTCAACACCCAGTTTAAGTGTGAGCTCCTCTGCTAAGCCTTCCTTAACTACCCCACCCCCATAGCACTAACTGGCAGCAGTAATTGGATGCTCATGAAATACCTGCACAGAGACTTGTATAGGGGTACTGGGAGACGGTGACACGGCACTCATGCAAGAAACCTTGACTGAATTTGTAAGTATAGGGGGTCTTCAGGAAGAGTAGTTTAGATTTGATTGGCACCACTTAGGTTATAAGCTCCTAGGTTCAGAAGCTAAAATCAGTTTTTCCCAAGCGTTTTTACATATGCTACATCTTTGTGTCCACTTCAGCGTTTCCTTATGCATGGCAAGTGTGTGATAAATGTTTCTGGATCAACTGACAGGTGCTCAGAAAACCTAGTCTGATCGATTCTCTTATGAATGCCTGCCTTTCCTGAGAGCTCATTAATTTTTAAGTTGTTTTCCTCGAAATACTTGGTATGCTGCTTTCCTCTCCCCATACCCCTTTCTTTTTGCTTTCCACAGGATCCCAGCTTGGTCAGCTGCTCTCCTTTTCTCTTTCATGATTACAGGTTTTTAACAAACCTTACGATGTGCGTGTTTGGGGTGGGATTGGGGATCAACCCTATCCAGCTTGTAGAAGTAAAGTCCCTTTAGGGTCCTGAAGCAATTCTGTGGATTTCAGAGGTAACTTCTTTCAAAGCAGCATAGGCGACATATGGGACACCATAAGCTCTGTGGTTCTCACTCTGTCCCTGGAAGCCAAGTGGACAGCAGCTAATTCTTACCTTCATTATGGCACATTTGGGGCTGGGGGCTCAGGGTCAGCCTGGTCTCAGTTGAAGCTGTAGATGCTGCGTTGTGGTCCTAATGAATATCCCATGGCATCCAGTCATTGGGGGGGGGGTGCTCATTCCAATAGAAAAACCTCAAAGGCAATAATTACTGTCTTTAGAGAACCAGACAGGCACAGTTGTTTGGGCCTGAGAAAAACCATCATTTG